ATTATAGATGAAAACAGAAACAGTCTGACTGCTGATAATGCAGAAAAGCTACTTTTCTTTAAAAAAAAACAAAAACCCTGCCACTCACTTTTTCTCTCCATTAAGTGAGTCATCTTAGACTTGATGTTAATACCTACCTCAGTTGCACTGACTGCCACAGTTCTATGTTGGTGGATGTTGTTAGTTTATTCAAATATTGTGCACTAAATAGCAAAGATGTTTATTAATGCCCCTTGTGTTGTCCAAAGCGGCAGAGTTTACAATAAACTGAAAGCAATACTTGAGTTGCACTGTCACTGTTTAAATTTTTTTTTCACAATTATTTATTCTGTAATATGTTGCATACAACATGCTTTTCATTTTAAATAAATGTTCTTAATTCCAAACAGTCCCTGTTAGCTGTAAATTTAAATCATGTTTTTATTAAGTACTCGGTATCAGCGAGTACTGAAATGCAAGTACTCTCACTCGTTTCCAAAAAAGTGGTATCGGTGCATCCCTAATGCATACACTTGTTTTCACTGTCAGGCAACATCAGGGAGAGCAGACAAGCACTCAGGCAAAACTGCAGGCCTGAACAGAAGAAAACCTATCCTCCCAAATAGAAAATTTGTTGCATTATTTTCAGATTTTTGCCAGAATTTGATTTATCGCGCCAGAAGCACATATCGCCTCACAGACCACTTCAAATGCTCTATGTTTGTTGTGTATGACTCACCTTCATAGAAGCCATCGTCATCCATGTTTCCATACACATACAGATACTTTCCAGCCACAAGGGGGAGTTCTGCTTCAGGATGCTCATTTGGTCCATCGTAAGGGTTATAACTTGAAGGAAAGAAAGGTTTTTCATTCATTTGTGAAGGAAAATTAAAGATAATGTGCGTTAAAACCCAAAATGAAATTATTTCTGTATTTAAACTTGTCTTATGCACCTATAACGGGCAGTGCAAAGGCGGACCTGGCCTGTGTAGCGAGATTTGGACCTGGGTGATGGGCTGGCCTCATCCTCCATCTATAGATAAATGAGAGGAACAAATTAAAGTGTTATTAGAGGGATAAGCGACTTTCCTACAGCATATTTAAGAATTAGCAGTTTGCAGCAACTCTTGAACCATTCCTTTTCAAGATATGAATATGTAAGTTAATTATTTAAAAACAATTAACATAATAGGTTACGCATGCATTATTCATGGATGTGGCATCACACAGACCCACCTCTGATGAGGGAAACTGTCGGGGGTGGATGGGGTGGTCCGTTGTCACGGTGCTGGATTTGACAGACAGCAGTTCTGGTGGTTCTCCGTCTCCAGTCTGCGGTGAGCAGGGCAAGAACTGGGATATCAGCAGCGGCGTGTCTGCCGCACTGTCATCACCTGGGAGACATTGATTTCCATAGCAAATAAAGAGTAACTGCCTTTTCCTTCCACAACCATTTCGCGCTCTTTGGAGCAAAACCATTGATCTCCTGCGGGTACAGCTAACACCCTTCATTTGGAAGGCTACTCCACCCCTATCAGCCCATCCTATTGGCAAAACAGACTTTAAAAAAAAATGCAGAAAATACGAAACGGAATTCCCTGAAGAAATTAACAATACGTAAACAACACAGATCAAGTGCATCACTGCGTTCTTGTGGTTTGTATGTAATATTATGCATTAGCACAAAAACATCAGTGAATTCTGCCTGAAGTGAAGAGACAGATAAAACAGGATTTTCAGCACTTCAAAGACCTTTGGTTTGTGCCAGACTGTATAAATCTACATCACTGATATGGCTCTATTTGCTGTATCTGCAGGTTGCACTATGTGTTGTTAGAATACTAATGTGTTAAATTACATTCGTGTCGTACATCAGGCTTGTGATCAAGGGCAGATATTGATCATGAATAAGCACCGTCTCCATTAATGGTATCCACCTCTGGTTTGCAGTGAGTAGGTCCAGCTGTAATGTGAGCTGTCTGGGGATTAGATCGCTAATTATCATTTTATCTGATCATAACCCTTTTAAGCACTAATAATTTTGCAGATGCTTTTATCTGGAGAGCACATATGTTTTTAGAATAGTTAGACCCCACTAATATTTAACCCTGCTAGTCTATAGTTTTATATCACCACTTTATATTACACAGTTACATTAATACTCACAGAACCACACTCACACTCAAGTAAACACCGCTCAGCTAAAACTGAGGAAAGTAGTAATCAGAGAAAAATAAATAAATAAAAATCAGGGACTGACTTTCTAACACTTTTGATTTGTTTTGATATATCCCCATCCCCCAGCCTCATAATTGCCTTTATAGCTCAATGTGTTTCATACAAAGCTGGCTGTGAGGTGAGACTCACCTGTCTCTGGTTGGGCTTCGAATCTGACCTGCGAGAGTTTCTTCTGTGGTGAGGGCGGGATCTGGGATGCAGAGGTGGTATTACTTTTAGGGATATTCACAGGTTCCGACTGCAGGCGGAAATTCAGCAGCTCTTTGGACAGCTGGTGAAAGTGTTCACTGTGTGACCGGCATTCCTGCTCCAGGTCACGAACCTTGACCTTTGGCAGTTAAGAAAAAGAGCAGAAAGGATTGTGAGACTGAGAGAGAAAACAAAAGAATAGGAGGTGAAAGGTGATTATTCTTCAGGGCTTTGGCAGTATATAATTTTGAATGTCTAGCAATCTAATCTAAACACGTGGAAGTGTAGAGTCATTTACTGATATGGTTAAATCATGATAACCAAGCCTGAGCACTGCATGAAGTTATATCATAGACATGCTATCAGAGGAAGGCCTAGAGGGGAAAGCGTGAATATACATATAATCACTTTTGGTGATACAGAACATAATTTTGGTTTCACAGGTTTGCAATTAAAGGAAAATTCGAAGAGGAAAGAAAGGGTGATGTAACTAACTAATCAGGGATGAAAATAAATACCTGAAACATTCTGTCCTTATTGTTCTGTTCAGACAAAATGTGGAAATCAGAAGTCGTAAGTAAAGAAAGGGGAAAAAAATGCAAAAAGAACCAATCATTAATAAAAGCAAACGGAAGGGGGACCAATGAGAACACAAATGTATTTATGAGTCGACAAAAAAAATAAGACAAATGTGTTTGTCAAACTGAAATGGACTCCTAAGCACAAAAACACAGAGTGGAAAACATATGGGGATTTCACACCTACAGACAGTACTACTATGCTTTCCCTCCTGTGGCCATATTTGCCCATAACTATAGAGAAACGCGCCTGTGAAAGAGACCAACTGATTCAGTGATTTCTAGAAGGAGATCTCCTTGACAGAGTTTCAATTTCTCTGACCAAACTGTTTTTTCTGAGCCAAACTCAGTCTGCTTGCTCAGTAAAATCGTATTAGAGCGCTCCAGATGGATAATAACGTGACCTCATATGAGCCGCACACAGAGGAGTCTGCGACGTATTCTCGTAGCAAAAGGATTTAAAGTAAGAC